GTGTGACCACGTGGCATTTAATTTACTAGCTCCCAATTCCCGACCAGGGTGACAAGAACTGATCCTGACTATTAGGAATCACAATTCAATTTTTTTCGTTGATAGCATGTCGTGCGCGAGGTTAAAGTGCTGGAGACTCACCAAACCAATGATTGGAAATACCCACGCTACCCGTTGCGACGTTGTATCCACTCCATCATCCTTAGTCACTAACCCAATATACTCTTGTTTTTGTTTATCGAACCCGCCAATTCTTACATAATATGCTACCGTTTGCCACGTTTAGCTCGAACCTCCGTACACTGTTCACGGTTATCACACTGGCCGATTAATTGACTGACATTTCATTCAAAATGGAGAGTTCTATCTTATCCTGACAAGATTTATTCAAAATATTCATCCTAGACTGAGGTTGTGAGAGCCAATTCACATCAGCCAACCGCCTCAAGACTAAGCATCGTGGTTAATGTCCTCCTTACTTTCCATTAGCTTGGGTGATCAAAGATATCCATTCTGCAGTCGTACAGTCTTTCATTGTATTTCACTCTTGTTGCCAAAGGTAGCGTATTATATCCGGTCTGTGCAGGATTTCGACATCACGCCTATTCATGTTTCCGTTTAACTGTTGACAGTCAAAATAGATCCTCGCAATGTATGTGCATGGACAATTAACCTCATTGCCCATAAATTGGATGGACAGTTTTCGTAGCACATCCACTGTTCCCTCCTCTACGACCCTTCAGGTAACATTCAGCCAGTGCAAACGTCGAATATTCCAATTTGTTTCGTGTCGAAAAAACGGAAATGAATAAAATAGTGCCTGACCGAATGACTGGAAATTCTTCTTTCCTTGTACGAGCACGTGTTGAACCTTTTTAGATGAAACCGATAGCGAGATTCACTCATTTTCAAACAAATTTGGTTTTGCGAGAGACTCACCAGGAACCAAGCTGAATCTCTCGTTTGTGATGTTTCCAAGCAACTGAATCTGCTGCACCATTCGGGATACCGCAGTATATTTTTATAGAGGAAACTACTCAGAAGGTTTCTGAAAAGTCTTCAGCAACCTTATGAGTAGTTTCCTTTTTGAAAACAGCGGTGATATTTATTGAGCATAAAGTCGCGTCGCAGGTGCCCATGTTTAATCGCCAATACTGTCGTACACATCTCAACATATCGGTTCTAAGTAGCTAATGTTCTCCCCTGATATTACACCTTTGAACTGAACAGGCTGAGTTGGGCAGCAGATGTGGACCGATCAAAGGAGCTGAATGCAGTCATCGATCTACATCGGTGCAGGTCATTCTGATTTCAAGGTACTTTGGCATCATGCTGTGTTAAATATAACAATTTAGTAAGGCCTGAACTGCATTCATTGGTTTTCGTCTGACAAGCTAGCACAGTTAACGCAACGGTTGAGCTGATGGGGTGGAATGTTTTCGTTCTGCACCCTGCGTCACATGATGACCGCAAAGCATGCGTGCTGCGCCTGAAGCATATTCTTGTTAGACTAGAGGACCAAGCTTACGCATCAGCTTAGGTCATACTATTGTGATGTCATTTCGCTTGGGCGTTTTTACACATCAGCTGTTACGTTTTGTGCTCCGTTACGTCGAAACACCGTTTCTGGAGCTTATCGATCGGGGCTATGGATGCCCTGAAGGCGCTTCACAGTGCGTGCGATGTGAAAGTCATCCGGCATATTCAAAGACTTCCCTTTCTACTTAGGATCGTCAAATTTGAATTGCCCGAGTCTATATGATTGTTGGACACACGTGAGCTCTTTCGATTACCTATATAAACCTGCAGGACTATCATCTAAAATAGCGGAACCCCGTGAATTACTATAGAGTTCAAAGCGGTTGAAATCAACATTCTAGATTCCATGAGCGCTATTCAGCAAATGAGTTCTGTTAAACTATGGAGATTATATTACAAGGTCATGGGTCAGTGATACGATTATAATTTCGATATTTGCTTTAAATGATGGCACTGTTAAGGCTCAAACAAAAAGTACCGGCCAAAGAAGGCGACAAGGCTGTCTAGTTCGAATCCGATCCGATGATTGAAGCACGGGAATGTAATAATAATGTGATAATATACAAGCAATATATACGTATGCTGCATATAATAATTATATATTACTCATATTATACATAGTATAAGTAATATAAGTGGAGCAATGTGACACTAGAGTACAAGAACCATTTCAGTCTGTCCTACATTCAAAATACACAAAAAGAAATAAAAATGATTGGCTGAACGCAATCTGTATGAAAGTTACATATGTGGGAGGAAAGTTGCAATATCCGATACCAATGACGGGAAAAATACGATCCAGTGATGAGAGAAAATCTAGTCCCATTGGTTCGGATAGCCTACAGTGGTACTGAAAAAGGGATTTTTTTAGTTTCCGAATTCATCACAGTAGCTCTGAGGATCTTGTGAGCAAGTTTCACATCCGAAAAAGTGATTCTGAAGTCTCAAGAATGTGGTTGAATCCCGAAAAGTGCAGCCACACACGTCATTATGGTGTTCCGTCAGGCGAGAGTCGAGCAATCGGACAAGTGACCCGTGAACTAGCAGCCCAAAACCATGTGATCGCCCACCGGTTTGTGAAGCTTGATGTGAAAACTGATTTCAGCTGGCCTTTGACTTATTAACGATTCTGCCTATCCCGCAGATGTCTGCGTTCATGCATATCAAGTGACCACCTAAGCTTTGTAGCGCCTTTTCTAATTTGATGATTTTATGTTGAAAGCGGCGGGACCAGGTAAAATATGCCTGTCGATGCATTTCGTGAGTGTACTCGACTTTGTTCATCGATACAATGTTAAGCGGACCAATACCATTAAGTTTGCTGTGCAGATCAGAGGACAACTTGACTCTGAGACACCTGGTGCACTCTCCCTGCTCTAAAGGGCACCCGTTTGTGATTGTTGGAGAGAGTTGTGGAATAAAATGAAGATAAAGTTGTGCTTTTGGCATCGCACTTTGTCCAGCTAACGTTCATCAGTCTGAAATGTAGGTTTCAGCTCAGTTCACGGGTGGTTCTGTGGCAAGTGCGTAACTGTACAGGTAAACAGTAACTAGTTGAGAGGCAAACAAAATATCGATAGACCGCAGATTGGATCCATTGTGTCTATTCCCTGCCGTGATTAACTGCATTGAGGCTGCTTGATTTCTCACCGTCATGCACTCCTATACAACTTTGCTTCTCGGAGTGGCAGTGAGTGTGTTACTTTCTATCCTAGTAGTCATATTTTTGTTTGGGAGTCCCCTGCACTCTAGGTCCCCATGCTGCCCAGTGGTCTTTCACACTTTCTGAGCCTAAGGGTATGGCTTTACTGTAGTGCACCGTCGTGTAAGAGCTCCATCTGTTGCTATACAAACTGCTGCTATTGTTTCTGCAATTTCTAGATTTATTCTTATGGCTATTGTCCGACTTGTGCACACGCGCACATCCTCACATCTAGGTTATACTGAAGTGAAACTTGTGTTTACGCTCTCGGCGCTAGTCACGGGTGTGTTCCTTGAGCAGCGGTCGTAACCGTACTCCTTATTCGTGGTTAGGAATGCACTGTGTGGGTCTGACAGCATTTACACGAAAGGCGAGATGGACCAAGTGGTCAGAGCGCGAATTTACTGACCGGAAGGTCCGTGGTTCGAACCCGACCTCTGCCTCTCGACTTCCCCTGTCTAGGCTTGGGCAACCTGGCAATATCCCAGCCCTCGTACAACCTTCGGGTAGCATGGCAGTTAGGCACCGAACGGGTGCCACAGCTGAACGATACATATACGAAAGACAGTCGTTACTTTTCGTATCTACTAGATTTCCTCACAGTCGATCACTGAATTTTTGTTGATCATTAGAGTACAGCAATTTCGTCACTTTCGGACTTTCCAACCGCGGAGTTTGTCGTTCATTCTTTACTGTTGAAATGCTTGGTCGCTTGGTTGCTAAAGCACTGTTTGTGATTTCTGATTTCCGCACCTTTGTTGATTGGATTGGGTCGTTTCCAAATATGCGGCTGGTTTGGCATTCACAATCTAGCTTACCTTCTCAAACCAAATTGTTTCCAAATGAGTATATTTCGCTAATTTCGAGCAATTAGGCTTCAAGTAAAACAAGCTTGACAGAAACTCGGGGACTTCGCCTACCTGATGAGCTCCAAGAAGGGAGAAACCGGTCATGGGCGGTCGAAGAGTTCTCAGCAACCTTATGATTGGTGCATTACGTATGTTGAAACATCATTTCAGAAGACGACCGTCCTATGGATGGCAATTTTGGGTCTTAACAAATTGACAGCCAAGCTAATGTGTATCAACACGACCGGAAGTTCACCGTTGCGGCGTTGGTCAGTATCACTCAGCAGGTGAGAAGAGCGATTAAAGCAAGGTTAATAGAAGTCGGGGATGATCAACTAGTGGACTTAACAAGCCTGTATACAACTTGGTGGTTCGGACTTATCATTAGTCAAGAGGTTTGATTCCCGCCTAAAGGGTATCGATCGCACGAGATAACGATATCTTTTGGCTTTGCTGACGTCCCTTTCAACGGAAACCACTGTATCCTTAATAAAACTTGGGGGATTGTTGTCGTCTACGGTCTCTCTGTACACTGGTATGTAAGAGGGATCACTCCGAAGAGAAGACCTTTCCTTGAAGACTGCATAACTGATAGGTATGGCCTTACGTGCATACCTTCAACTATGGAAGCACCTTATTCAACTAGCAAAAGAACTGTAATACCGATGGTGAATATCTAGGGTTGATGAGAATGGCTGGACCACTCAGTGAAGTAAGATCGCCTAGTCTCATCTCCATCCCTTTGGCTGATTTTTATTCCTATGTCTAACAGTTCTCAGTGTTATCGAATCCAAATAGCGTCATGTGCAGCTCGATAGGGTCCCTTACTTCGAAAATTTGTCCGTAGTTTAATTTCGTATGCACCAAATCCTGAGTAATAGCTATGGTCACCTTTTCCATTTGCTTTGCAGCAGTCAGCAAGACTTACCAAAACTCCGGAACCAGATTGATGTCTCGCCCCATGTTACGAGAGTTCATACTCCCAGTAATCAGAATCCGGCAGCAGATGTCAGACGTCAAACACCAAAACCAACCATGTCTCAAGCCCGCCAATCGGATAGTCGCCTTCCGCCCACGGGATCAGCAAACGTGGAGAACTTGAAGTCTTTTCGGGATACCCCGCCGTGGCTATCCACTGATGGCCGCTCAGATCAAAATGTCCACGTAAATCCAGTTGTAGAAGCTGCTGATGCTCGACTGTCTATTCTACAAGATGCGAAACTGGCTGCTCTCAGTGTAGAATGGCCAGCGTTGAACAGTGCTTGCCAGAATTCGGCTCAGAGTAAAACACAGAGGGCTCGATCTTCTACCTCCTTCTCCTCGCCAGGGTTACCAGCTCCAGGAACCGTTCCTATGTCGCTACCACCCACAATTTCACAAACGACTGCCTTACATCCCGTCCCACCTCGGTGTACAATGGATGCGAAAGAAAGCCCGCCATCGGATAGTCGCCTTCCGCCCACGGGATCAACAAACGTGGAGAACTTGAAGTCTTTTCGGGATACCCCGCCGTGGCTATCCACTGATGGCCGCTCAGATCAAAATGTCCACGTAAATCCAGTTGTAGAAGCTGCTGATGCTCGACTGTCTATTCTACAAGATGCGAAACTGGCTGCTCTCAGTGTAGAATGGCCAGCGTTGAACAGTGCTTGCCAGAATTCGGCTCAGAGTAAAACACAGAGGGCTCGATCTTCTACCTCCTTCTCCTCGCCAGGGTTACCAGCTCCAGGAACCGTTCCTATGTCGCTACCACCCACAATTTCACAAACGACTGCCTTACATCCCGTCCCACCTCGGTGTACAACGGATGCGAAAGAAATCAAGCGAATATCTCCTAATCCGTGTGCACCTGAATTGAATTCACCTGGTTTGCTGTCTCGAACAAGACAGGTCACGCCGGGTACGAATCAGGCGGAACTACCCAATGCGACTAAGCCCCCAACACCTGCAGGATACTGCGGAACAACTCAGGTTAGGCATCACGTAACTCCTTCACCAACGCTGGCGCCATCGGCTTCGTCACTAGGAGTCACTGCGACGGAAAATTCGAACGTTTTCAACAGGCAGGTGGTTTCAAACGTGCTTTCTACTCCTGGCCGACCAAGTGATGAGAAATCCCCCAGACCAACCGTTTACCCAGGTGTTTCCCTTAACGCGCTTCATAAGATGATGAACTCACCTACCGGGGAACCGATCCTTCATACAAGCGGCAGTGGGGGTGAGATGTCCTTTTCGTGGCCACCACCAAAAGGGTATGAATCTCAGCCCCGGCGGCTATCTACACCATCGGATATAACAAACACAGGCCACCTGAAACCATCACCTGATGAAGAAGAGGCACAGAAATCTAGTCGAACTCCCACCGAGACTCGTTCTACGGCGATGCCTTTGAAAAAACGATTGATACAACGGTATGAGGCTGACAATGGAACGACCATTGGTGCCTGTTCGTCTAACCTGTCCACCATCTCTGCGACATCTCCGGACCTAACGCGATACCTGTCAGCCGGGCCAAAACTTTCTCCCCATTCTCCCTTGCGATCCGACAGTTCGTTCATCTCAGGTGTGGATCAACCTCCTACCGGCTCACACGAGCGTGTTCTTTCTGTCGGCAAGTCTTCCGAGGTGAGTTTACGACACCAGTGCAACACCGCAAAATCCCCTTACGTACTCAGAGAGATTGTTAGTTGCTCAGTTTCTATTAATGTCCATTGGTTTGGAAGTGCATTGGAGAGAAAGACAGCCTTTAAAGCTGAATAGTATTGGAGTTACTGGTCAGAATTCATGGACGGCACGTGAATGTCTTCGATCCATTTATGACACCCATTCTTGGTATATGTGGCTAGCCATACAGAAAAGCCATGACTCGTAAATATGGGAACAGTGCTTCCTCCGAATAGAATGCTTCCAAAAAGCGAGTGTTCCATCTCAAAGTACCCCAACTTGTATTGCTGTATATTGGTAACGTCTTAAAGTGAAGAGAACCACGGTTATTGGACTTATACACTCATCTGCATATCAATTTGGTTTTCATGTGGAACTCACCTGGAGCCCATCTGTTGTTCTGTTCGCCTCAATATGTGTGGGATTCATTGATCGGCTTGCTTGCCAACTCTCATGATGGCATACACGCACACTTACGCCATAATTTTCTACCCTGATCCGGTGACTACTAAAAAATCACCTTATGAAGGAAATTCCCATAATGGTAGTACAAGAAAACAAGGAACAAAACATCTGACTCTCTACTGGCGCTAATTTGTCGTCAGTTGGAGCCTGGGTGTGCATCACTATCATATTCTAGAGCGAGAGAAGTAAAACTCAAAAGTAAGGATGGGTTGGTGCCATCTCACATTGACTGCATTAAGCGGCTTTCATTTGTTCGTTCGCCAGGTGGCCAAACCACTGTATTTGATATGGTCTTTTATCTTCTGCAAAACACTACAACCTCATTCATTCGTCTGAAAACGTGGTAGTTGATCAGGCTGCTGTTGATCTGTTCACCGAGCTTGGTAGTTGACTTGAAAGTTTTTCGTCACCATTCGAGGAGACATCTCAGTGCGCCTGTCCAAGTTGGCGCGTTTCCAAGGAGCCAGTTCAGGGTTGTCGGTTTGTTCAATGAGCTGGGCAATTCGGTTGCAAACGTTTCATCACCAGTCGGGGTGACAGCTCATGGAACAATCTGACAATCTGAGCCACCGATATTCTCTTCAATTAGAAAGATGGTACTGAAGAGATAGAAATGATGGGGCTTATTGCGGAGACCCCGTGTAATGAAAGCCGGGGATGACGGTATCAAGAGACTAGACTGTCGTTTGACACTTATATCAGATGGCTCACTGATTAGAGTGCGAATTTACCGACAGGGAGGTCCGTGGTTCGAATCTGACCTCTACCTCTCGACTTTCCCCGCCTGGGCTTTGGCGACCTGGCAATATCCCAGCCGTCATGCTTCCTTCTGGTGACGTGGCAATTAGGCACTAAAGGGTGCCAGAGCTAAGCGATTCGATACTAGTAAACCTGGACACCGAATTTACTCTAGGCTGACTTATAAAAGTATGATCAGACTAGTCTATGGCGGCTGGTTACGAGCTTGCCACTTAGGGTGAATGTATATGTTGAACGTGGTGATTGTGTAACATTGGATTAAGGTTATGCAACCTAACCTAACCTAAGCCTTCCATGACAAAGTTACTAAGTGTTCATGGGGGGGGGGGGATTTCATTTATAAACTCTGGCCGCACAGCTCGGCCATGGTACATCGAGCTTTGTACACTTGGCTGAGAATAAATCAGCTGACCAGCTAGAACCCACCCACGCTATTCGGTGGCACCTATCCTCAAATCACCCAAAGGCAATGCTGCACTTGCAATCAAGTGCACAGTTTGAGTCCTCAACAAAGCCTTCTTTCCTCACTGCTTTACGGTAGTTAGGGGCAGGTATTCACTGTTGATGTATCATTGTTAGTGCTGTTATTTATGGTGATAATGCTGATGATAATGGGGATCGCCTTGACGAAGTAATCCCGATGTCCAAATTGTGGGTCATCATGTAGATCAGCCGATATTCCGTTGCGCTGTACCGTTTAGCATACAAAACTCCATGTTTTGAGACCGCATCATGATGTGAAATTGGTTTTTTGGCAAATCGCTGACCCAGTTAGGATGCGTAAGAGAACATGGTCGTATTCAGTGCATATGGTTATTGGAGCCCATTCTATCCAAAAATTCCGTCGATGGCTTTCGGGGACATCGCACAACAGGGTGGATCCTATTCTAGGTTACTTTTCCCCGGATTTAGGCTACCGTCACTTTCCTGGAACAAGTAGGAGTATTCAAAAATGTTGGCCTATTTCCATAGTAACATGTTTGTAAGACTGTCACTTGTGGAAGAGCCGGATTGTTTGCTCTTATTGGCAATCGTGAACAGATGACTTTTTATAAAATCCTTTAGTTCATGTTTGATTTCTTCTCATTCATTTTCCTTCACCGTGCTTTTTGTGTGCACAGAAGTCCGAACATCCTGGAATTGCTTCAAAGAAGCGAAAACCCAATAAAGGGCGTAGCTTATCCGATGTGTCCGACGGGAGTTGGGAGAAGAAACCCAGTGGAAGGTGCGTTACTGCGGGTGGCATGGGAAACAAGCATGCTGGGGGTTCAAGGGATCCACGAAAGCGTGACGGGAGCACCACTCGCAGGTCAGACAGCTACGCACGGGAACCGAAGATTTCAAAATCCAAGGCTCGAACAGTAAAGTCTGAAGACAGTGGAAACATATCAGATCAGAAAACACGGAAGCAAACACAACGGCGAACGCGGCAACCTAGTTCGGATGCAAGCAGTGCTCAATCGTCTTCACGTTTGGACGATGGGGATGAGCCACCTCGACGTCGTATGGCTGCGGTCAACGGAACCTATCTGATGATGGTGGCGTCCAGAGCACATCGAAGTCACAGTTCAGCCAGCAGTGCCAGTAGTTCCAGTCTGCGTAGTGTCGAGGCAGGTGTGGAAAGTGACTTTGATCAGAATGTTGACGAGACGACTAAATCCGGTAAAGCTTCTAAATCCTACGCACGGACGAAGATGGAGAAGGTCCATCACTCTTGCGATTCAACAGATTCGACGAACGACGCGGTTTCGGATGGGAAACGGACAGGTGCCACAACTCAAGCGATACAGCACGATCGTGTACGCAAACCGAAAAGAGCAGCTGCGTTGGCTGCTTCCGCGGCTACTGCTGCGTCGGCCACTGTCGGAATGAAGCGACCTCGTTTGTCTTCAACACATATGGATCTGATGCAACAGCCCTCACAACATCAAGTTACGGATCGAGAGGATGAGGAGGTGGATGCTGACGATGAATCCATGTCCACCGATGGGGCTTCATCCATTATGACCCTGGATCCAAAAGGCCCCACGACGAGCTCAGTTCTCGATGAGTTGTCGGCAGCTTTGACGGAGGATAAGTTGCCGTTTGAGGAGTTGATGCATCAGATCCCTGGACCTCCCGATCGTAAGCTTGCTGCCACCATTCAATTACATTTTCTACAGTCTATGTGTTTCAACCCGATGATTTTTCATTAAAATTTTTTTTAGGATGGTACCCAAGACCTTCCAAACAGCTTGCTCTCATAAAATTCGCTTGATTATATTATTAACCATGTCCTAGGATCCTCGGCAATATGCACTCACTAACTTCTCATTTGTTCATTCGTGCTGCGAACAGGACTTGATGCGTCTTCCCATGGTCTTTATTTGCACCTCGAATTCCAATCTAGCACCTTATACCAGTGATCATCAGCAGAGGTGGTTTCGTTCCCTGGAGACGTTTTTCAACTTCACATGGAGCGATGTCGTTCAGAAGCGTGCTAGATGGTCGCTCGTCAGTAGTATGGATGTGGCAGTGCTAGTGTAGGCGATAGGAGCGTGGGTCTCCGACACTTCCCAATACCCAGCCAAGTGCAGTACCTTAATTTGGATCGTACCGCTCATACCATCACCTCTGTGTGAGGATACAATCATGCATAGCAGATTCAGTTATTCCTAGCTTTGGTCTTGCGAACAATTCTCATGTAGGTCAGCTGCTCGTAATGACGGAGGCTTTTGAGCACAGTTAAACATGCAATACAAGTGCAGTTATGCAATGCCATCAGGTGCGACCCCCTATCCGCGGTTTGACAGAACGAAGAAGTTGATTAACAGAGGTCTTCCAGCTTCGTCTCACTTGAAGCTCAAGGTTGGAAATACTGCAGACAGACACCAGTTGTAGTGCTTAAACTAACCATTGTTTATCGAGCAACAAAGATCATAAGTACTCGCCAGGGTACTGCTGTTTAGTCGCCTCATGTTCGATCGAGTTTTGAACCAACAAGTCCTCGAGGGGCTTACATTGATTTCTTCAGCAGTGTTGTATAATTTGTGAGTTTTTAGTGCTCCGAGTTTTGAAACAAGCTTCATAGTATACAGGACGCTGAGTAAAACCAAGCTGACAGAATTTGAAGAAGGGGAACAGTTGAAAAAAAGGGCTGGGGACCCCTGGATTAGATGGTTAATTGACCTACAATCGAAATAGTCGGCTTTTCGTCAAACCTTCTTGGATTATGCAGGAGTCACCAAAAGTCGGATGTTCATTTGAGCACCACTGAATAGGGTGGTATACGGATGAACCTCACCAGGCGTTCTTTCTACGTCAACCGGTTGTCAAAAGCCTAAACAACAATCTGTGACCTAGCCAACGCGTTTCTGGGTCGTGTAACGGTTCAGTGACGTCTGTACTTGGTTGTTATCCCCTGTTCTTATTCACAACTGTCCACTCGTGGTGGTAACTGTGAATCCACAAATGTTGAATCCGATGGCGGCTACCTGAAGTGTCATGTGGTGAGCTCCATTCTTCATCCGAGCGAGCCAGTTCAGTGAGTTTGTGCCTCACGTATTCCCTGGAAGCTTCGAAGCTTAACGGTTCGAATGATAGTATTATTCTCGTTTACGCTTCCTGATGGTTAAACAAACTTCAGTCAGACTGGTTTGGCATGACCGATTGCGTTTGTCTCTTCAAGTGAACCGCCAAGTGACTCTGGTATTAGACAGGAGGGTAGCCGCTACATATTCACACTCCGAATTCGTCATAAATACGCCCTCGCTACAACCATAGGAATGAAAGCCCTTTGGACGGATTTAAATGCCATAGTTTCTTGCCTCACCATCATCACCTCCGCGCTGAATAGAACAAATCTGCCATTTATGTGACCCCAAAATTTAATTTTCGTTGCACACATTGATTCCGATTGTGCCCGTGGATAATCTCATCATCTCTTCACTGTGACTCAGTAAGCAGTCTCGTCGCTTGCAGGTCGAAACCTGCCTGGATGATGACCGGAGGGTATCTTGGCATGACCCTCAAGGTAGAATGGGTGGCATTGGAACAATATTCTGTGATAATCTCCCCCTGAAATAGACCTAATTTACAAGAAGAGCCTTCGTGAACGCCCTTTTACCTACTCTGTTGATTCATGACCACTCCTCTTTTTGTCTGCCCTTCCATCTGTTTAGTGCAACAATTGACAGATCATTCACTCCGTCCAACACACTCGCTCGACCATTACCGACGCAGCCGAACTGCCTTCGTTCAGTTGGTCAGCTGCAACGATCCTGGTTTGAAACAAATACCCAAATGCCGTGCCTGCCGACAGCTCAAACGTTCACACGTGGACAATTCGACAAGTTTGATGATGAACGGAGGTATGGAGTCGAGCTTATCTGATGAAGAGGGTCGTCCTGGGGAACAGAGATTGACTACAAGCGGTACAACAGGGGTGAATGGAGCCGCGCAGTTCAAGCGTCCTTCCGGCCGAAACGGACATACGGAAAAGGGTAGCAAGGAGAGTTCGGGTGACAATGACCGAGTGAATAGCGGGGACAAACAGAGGGGAAAGAAGACGACCACTTCCTCTCCAGTATCTGTTTTTTGCCGTTTCTGGGGATTTAGGAAGTAAGTCATATCTATAGCTGAGTTTTCAGTCCTTGTCTCTGTTGTTATTTTATTCGTGAGGCCGAAAGCGATGGGCCATCCTATTATTGGCTAGTTAGTGAGCCTTCATGAAAAATTAGGCTATCGAGACGAGTCCTACTTGTCCCATTCTTCGCAGGGTTCATAACCTGAAAGGTTGCGAAAATACGGTTCTTTTGGACTGATATTTCATCCTGTCCTTAAAACACTCAACTTTTTTATACAGCGTGCTTTTGGGGCATAATATACAGGCATTTTAATGTTCGTACTAAAGCCTCTCTGTATAAACTAGTAAAAAAACCGGTCAAAAATGATCGCCGCATGGTATGGTGTAAACCTGCTCATGAATAAAATGTGCCATAATGCAACATTGGTGCCCAATCTTTTATTCAAAGAGGGAAATGTGAACATTTTCGTGCCAAAAATTAGTATCAGAATGGCTGGTCAAAAGAAATTGCTTTAGGGGTGAATTGCCGCTGATAGTGACTCTCTGGGTGCCCATTTCTTCGTGGCTTAAAATTCCAGCCTCTGGTGCTGCTTGGTTGAACCACTGTCCGTGAATTCAACTAATATCCCGTTGAAACTACAGTGGTCCCACATTCAAAAACCCCCCAGAGGACTTCAACGAACGGAAAAGTCCCTCATAATAGGATGCTCCCAAAACGTACCAGAACGCAACAAGCATTTTTCTCTCCATTTCGAAACGTTTATATTATGGAATACTATCCAAGCTGAAGTACAGGGGACCATGAAAGCCGATACGACGACGAATTCTGAGGGATGCAATCAATTAGCTACGTCTACTAAGGTTATTTAGCCGCAAGTTATGGGTTCAGTTAGTGTCATGGACAACAGATGCCCGCTCAAATCGACCAATAAAACCACAGAGGGGCGCTCTGGCTTTCAGTACGGTGTTCGAAGGGATGGGTTAGTTAAATGGAACATTTCCATCTTGAGAGTGGTGAAGGATTTCATCACTCGACTCCCACAACATCCACTTTCGAGGGGCATGTCAGCTGACCTCTTGGCTGGATGTTTGAATTGAGTGTAACATTCTCTTCAGTTGATGAAAAGTTTGTCCCTTATCCGGTACCTTCAGTGCGTGCCTTTACACAGGACGTCTATTCCAGCGGACCATCGGTCAGTGGAATATGTGACCTTGTTGGATTGTTTTTTTTCATGGAACTGTCCGTTTTTCGCTAAACCTTCCTACATTTTCTTAAACTTTCCCCATCTCAGGCTGATATTCAACAATCGTGGCATATTGAAAATAGCTGGCTTTTGTCACTCGAATGAGGCCGCTCCGATCGACCGTTCTTTGTGGGAAATGTACTATCCAGGTATGTGACGACTATTGCGTTGAAAAGTGCATCCGTTTTTTAGTCTTTGGAAAGCTGGAATCGTTGTATCTAGCGCACAGTCTTGATGTAACTCTGACGCTTGCTTGTTTTTTTTGTATGTGATGTCTGTGACAGAACAGAAGGGCCAACCATCTGGGACGCTGTCAAAATCGAGCCTAAAAGTTTCTGTCGGTTTCGATGAGCTAATTCAAAGTCGACCAATTCCGCGGTCACCAGTAAATGCTCATCGAGTCTGTTGGCGCGTTCTTGTTCGTTGCTAGTAACGGCAGGTTCGGCTACCATACTTTACGATACGCAACCCTTTGTGCTGAGCACTGGCTATAGAAATGACCCTGTATTTTTGTCCCTCCTCTTCAGTTTCCCCTTGCGTGGATCCAGCCAACGCCAAGTACCTCCTGGAACGCGCGGGAGTGTTATTCTGTCGTCTTTTGCGTCAAGAAGTTGCTATTCTCACTGGATACAGTGACCGTGAACCGATTGTGCACCGCGGTCCCGGAGCTCCACCAAAGAACGGAATACGGCGGGGTAATGTTTCAACCAACGCTACTGCTGCTGCCTTGGGTGTTACGGCCAATCGGGGGCATCCAGCAAACGTAGTCGCATGGAAACGACCGGTGAAAGGCGTCCGTGAGATGTGTGATGTTTGTGAGACGACTATGTTCAATACTCACTGGGTTTGTGCCAAATGTGGTTATTCCGTTTGTGTGCACTGCTGTGAGGAAGCAAGGGTGAGGAAAAACCGTGCCAAGTCCGAGGTCGATGGGGAACCCCGGGACGTCAATCCAGTGAAAGAGAAAAACAAAGGAAAACAACCACGATGTGAGTAGTTGATCACACTCAGCAACTCTAGCAACTTTTCTCACTTTTTCATCCCTATAAACTAGGTCTTTACCTCCAGATTTCCAGCTTCTATCATAATGAATCCGTATTGATCACGTGTCGTGGTGTGATGCGTCGCATTTGTCCGGAACTAGGTCATCATTGTCGGTGCATCAGCTGACAAACCTGAATTCTCAGAGCACTTTGGGCATCAACACTGATCTACATGCTTTCGTTGTGTCGATCGACCAGGCCTACTGCTGAGGTCCGTGGCCACGATGACTCGATTCGAATGAACTCATCACGTTCTCACACGCTAACTTCACTTGTACTGGACCGATCAAACAACAAGCGTTCAGACATTCTGACAAACGTTGAGAGTCGGGAGCTCGTTCTTCCACTGAAAACATATGGCGGAATTTCCAGTTGGCCATCGTGTCTAGTTTACGGACCGTTAGTCAATGAACGGAACCTGTATTATTCCTTTCTCCGTATAAAAACAGTCTACGAGATTAATTGCCGCTCAAATTTAGCTGCAGTACGCCCTTGGTTCCGTTCAATGATAGATGTCTATTTGGAACCATCGTATCACCAAGTAGGTTAGTAAGCTTAGCTTAGATTTTTCCAAGCATGGGTCGCACACAAGCAAGAAGAAAAACGCAACCGCCAAGAGTCAGCCGACGAACATCCCGATCTGGTGCCCGCCATTGGTTTTGGTTAGCAAAAAGTGCAGGGAAGGAAGAATGGTGAACACACCTATCACCACTATTGCTCACCTAGACTAATGGTGAAAATGAGACCAGGACCGACTGAGGACTTTTACATGATGGTCTCAAATCCGCCTCTTTCTTACGCGTTATCCTCTCTCTGTCCTTATTCGGTCCGAATAGGCCAAGTTAACCCTCGGTTGGTATCCATACTTAGCAACACTGTGAAACTTTATGCTTCATTATGCAACGTTATACTTCCTCCGACAGCTGAACGCTCACGGTAAAACTGATTTCACGTCAAGTGAGATATCTTCAGCCTAACCGAACCTTCGAGAAATTGGAGTGGTACTATGATTACGTTAAAGACCATGGTTGAAATCTGTGCTCTGGATAGGATCCTACAGAGTTCTCGGAAATTTCTTGCTGTATGTGACGAAACTGTTTCCGGGCTATGAGCCACGGTTATTTTGTTATATCCGCGTCCGTAACAGACTGAAGTCGATGGCTGCTTGCCTACACATGTGTGTACATAAAAACACAGGTGAATATTTGCAACTTGTTGCTTATAGATGCACGTCAATCACGTGGTTGTAAGATGATTCACATGATCGCCACAACAGCTGTCATACGCACGACGTTAGAACTTATTGATGCTAAGCTGTGCTTGTGGCCTGCCCCGTCTTGTTCGATTTGATGGTTTTCATTGATTTTTTAATTGTCCTTTCAGCTCGAGCTGGTCCTCCCGGATGGGCTTCGTGTACTACCACTCGGCAGCATCACGATCCCGACAGGTTGGTCCTCACTTCCTTACTGCCCGCCTCCACAATCGGTAAGCTACTCCATCAAGTCCATCGGATATCACGGCATTACCAGATTCGGATGGGTTGCGACTGTCTCGCTCCAACGAACTTTCAGACCAGACAGTCAGAGAGTCGGACCGCTTTGTCACCGACAAGCGAGAACTCCCTGGATCTGCTTGCGGACTTAGCCTTGAAAACAGATTCCAAAATACCCAAGGGTGTGGAACAAGTTGAAAATGGCTTGTACGGCATGGAAAGGACGGCGGCCAGCTCGACCGGCGTGAAATCAGTCGATCCTATCACGCTCCCACCACACACGTGGATACGGAAGCCAGAGCCTGCATCACATGGAGGGGAAAACAGTGCGAACGATGTACCCGATCCATGCAATCAGGCTCGGGACAAATATCGTGTTTTGCAGCTGCACGATGCAGATTCTACGCATACTTCGGCCGCATTCCAGGTGAGCTTTGATCGATAAACCCTCAAGTTGTCAGCGTTTACATTTCACCCCTAATTCAAAGTCCCAAAGCAGACGATGTTTCCACTGCCGTGGAACGATTGAATCTCAAGGTGATAAAATTACGTTACTGTGCAAGCAGACGAATCGAACCACTACTCGTGAGCTGTTTTGCACTCGAATACGGCTGTTTTGTTGCTCTACATCGATCACATTCCACGCATGACATACTTCTCCGATTTTATGTATTTGCTAGGTTTATTGTTATCCGAAACTCACATCTACCACATAGGTCATCGTTTGTACGTTGCTCTGTCTGTGGCCCACGTGCTGCACACGGCGTGACCGTTGAGCTGGGGCGGACCGACGGTAAGGCAGTAATAAAAATTGTAGACAAGCACAAGTCCCTATAGGCCTGTGTTTCACTGTTGTCTCGACAATGAAAATGCGGTCAACACCTGCGGTGTGCCACGGACCAGAAGGGTTTATTTCTCATATCTCGGTAAATGTGTGAGTATTGGGGGTACAATATGATTGAGTGGTATGTCAGTAACAAGGATATATCGGAAATCATTTTCCTGATACAACACACTACTTACAACGTTTCTGAGAAATCTCTTACGGCGTGTTGCAGGTTTCGTCCTTCTTGTGGTTCATCAATTAGACATAGCGCTTAGTTTCCATTCGTTTGAACACCAAGATGTAGACGAATGGCGAAATTCACTGATCTGCAAATTTACTTGGTATCAATGGGAGACTTAACAAAATCCTAGATGAATCCCTCATTTGTGATATTCCTCGACTGCGCGTAAGCCGTTTCATGTTTCACTTGGAACGATATTAAAGATATCCGAGTAATCTTTATTGAGGTAACAAGTTACTCTCTTCTACGTTACTCTTCTATTGTCCATTGCCGGTTCCGCCCTTCTTGGGCTCATCAGGTAGGTGTAAATTCCGAGTAAACAATCAGACTTTGACGACAGGCCTTGTTTACCATAGCTGGTTGCAAAAATGTGTAGTTTCGCAATGCCAAGTGGTTGGCCACATGATTTTGTCGGTAAAGTTGAAGCAAACGGACCAGAAAAGTCATTAGGTACCTTGGAGTTACATTCATTTAAAAAAAATCGATGTTGGCCACGATATGGTCGTTTTGAAGTAAAAAAAGTTGTAATGAACCGCTGTCAATTTCGCACTCGTGGTGGACCTCTTAATTTAGTGTCCGACTAATTTGTGGCATACTCCTGCAGTGGATGATGAGATTGTTTTATGTGAATTTGTAGCACCCATGCTGCTTTTTGTGGACGGATGTTATCATCCTCCCGAGCAAGTGGACCTCATCGTAGCTAGTGATGGTTTCTGATTGTGTGGAGATGGCTTCACGAACACCACTTTCTAGAATTCACTCGTGAATTATATCCATTTTCCTCTGTATTTCATACTCCCTAGCAATATGTTTATGGTTAATGCACACAAGTAGCCGGGCTTCGTTCTTACCCATTAATGGTTCACATCCTGGGTGTTGAAAGGTGACCACCTATCGATTGTTAAAAAATCGTTCAGCTGTCGCACTCTTCCGGTGTCTAGCTGCCATGCCGTCCGAAGGAAGCACGAGGGCTGGGATATTGCCAGGTTGCCCAAGCCTAGACAGGGGAAGTCGAGAGGCAGAGGTCGGGTTCGAACCACGGACCTTCCGGTCAGTAAATTCGCTCTCTAACCACTTGGTCCATCTCGTCCTTCTAATTGCCCTTCGAATTGATTCTGCATCATTCCGAAAGAGCTCAGTATTCGCTCTCGAATTTTGATTATCTTGTAGTTCAGTGACCCCGCGGAAGAAAGGACACAGGGGAAAGTGGGTTTGTTTCAATAAAACGATCAACTTTGTTGCTAAAATTATCTAAAGACGTACTGACGACCGAACGCTAATTTTTGGAAGCTTGTATAACGACCACGCCGGATCTCGCCAGTTTTAAAAATGTTTCTGAACGAGAAACCAAGGAATACTTTTGAATCCAAATATTTGATCTAGCAGACGTCACTATCGGAATGCAGCCTGCGTCACTGTTACGTAGTGTAATGTTAGTCCATGTCCGGAACGTGTTTTCAGGCAGCGCGTTTTGTTGCTGAATGTCACTTGATTCCAATAGTTTCCAGCGCGAATCGATACGATTTTGTCATGTTTGTGAATGACCGGTCGTGGGCTGTCGAAGGGTTTTCAGCAACTTTGTGGGTAGTTTCTTGTATAAAAATATGCTGCGATGTCTCGAATACCGTGCTGACTGAAACATGAGGCGACCTTAGTGCTGCATATTCAGTCGAAGAATGTCATAAACGAGCGATTCAGTTGAGTCTTGTGTGAAAATCAATTTGGTTTGCAAATGAGTATATTTTTCCGGAATGATTGTTTTATGTTTTCCTCTCTGATTAACGACTCACGACCAGGCTAAAATTTGATGTCGCTGACGTGCGTCACCAGCGTGTACTCTCCGTCAAAGCACAGGTTAGGACAGGTACCAAAGAGCGGTAAAATAAGGGATCGATAAAATTAGGGAATCCGCTGACCAATTAGATGTTCCGATGCTTTGAGGAAAATGGGTCAGATGCCAGTGTTACGGAATACACCGAGGTTTACGGTTTCAGTCACCGAGGATGACCTTCCCCAGGAGTGGAATAATTGAGGCTCTATATACACGACAGCTGGTGGTCACTTAAGGTCTCTGCCCAGTTAACCAGACTTTACCACATTCTCTATGTCAACCTTGTTTAGAAATAAAATTTCGATTAAACTAAATGAGGTTGAGAACAGCACAAATGAGAGATTCAGCTGGGTTCCAGGTAAGTGTATTTCGCAAATGAGGTTACCGTTTTTATTTCTCACTTTTGTTAAGAGACGGCCATTTCCTCTCGAGTCCTAGTGCGGTTTACCTCACGGCAGATGTAACGTTTGACTGCATGTCATCGTTCAAACGTTCGAATTCCTCACCTAAAAATGCCCACGCAGGACTTTTGTTGCGTTGTCATATGCGCTCACACGCACCGCTGAATGCGAGGCATGCGTACCCGAATTATTAGCGTTCCGCTTTACTAAGCCCATTACTCACCTTTCTTCCGCAGCCCGACCAGCTTTAGATCTTTACTTGGTAAATTGACTCGGTTCGTCGCTCTTTCTTGTACATCCCTCTTCAGCGTGAATGGCGAGCTAACCGACCCGTGGTCATCTCCGGATGCCATACGAAATTCAGCCCTTCCCTATGGACACCGCGTAGTTTTACTGATGAGTTCGGTCCGCTGAGAACTACTCTAGTTGATTGTGCTACGGGAATCGAGCTGACCAGGTATCCACTCCGAACATTTTGGGATGGATTCGAGCGCAAAGCAAGTGAGTTTGACGTGCCACAGTTTTGTGTAGAACTTGTCCGCTTGAATTCCACACCCGCTACTCAGAACTGTCATACTTTTAATGTACATTGAACAAATTACTGAACTTTCAGGGGATCTTGATGTTCCTTACATAAACCTTTATCTACATCGTGAGCTTCGTGGGAGTTCAATTGTGTAGTACAATTAGTTAACTTTTGACCAGAGGAAGTTTCCTCTCTGAGCGGACACGACACCACACATATACCTCAACTTTGTGTCTCTCACACTGATGTTTGACACCGTCAGCTATGTGATGTTATCTCCTCTTTAGGACGCTTGGTTAGTAAAGACGGTCGTGCACTGTGTCTCAAATTGAAGGACTGGCCAACTACTGATGACTTTGCCGAACTTCAACCGCATCGATTCAACGATCTAATGATGAATCTCCCGATGCCAGAGTACACGCGTCGCGATGGTCAGTTGAATCTTGCCGCTCGGCTCAACTCGTTCTTCGTCTGCCCGGATCTAGGCCCCAAGTTATACGTAGCCTACGGTACTGGAGGCTCTCGATCGGTAATTTTCCGTCTTCCTATAATCCTCTCTTGCTCTGGTATCATCACTTTTCTTCGTTGCATTCCAGCTGGACTTTCTAACTAATCTCACTTCATATCATACCATGTGTTCTTCCGCTAAGAGCGTTTTGGAGGAATCTGTCCGCGGAGTGCGGTGTTGTGTGTGACGGAGAGTGCGGATTTGGCGGATACGTGTGACAGATGCGTGTTGCTGTCACGCCGAAGTGAAAAGCAGCTAAAGTTAACTTGGTGGATTATTCATTCGAGCAATGTTCTGGCGTAAACGTTTAGTTCGCATTCTTGGCTGCCCAGCACACACTTGCCGCATGTATCTGTTGGGGAGAATGTGAGCACACTGTGATTCGAGCAAGTTCTGGCGTAAACGTTTAGTTCGCATTCTTGGCTGCCCAGCACACACTTGCCGCATGTATCTGTTGGGGAGAATGTGAGCACACTGTGATTCGGTTTGGAACGATCGGTCAGACCAAGTAGTGGACGTCACCACCGCGTTGCTCCCCAAGACCGCAGTTGTAAAGTGCACAAAGCATGAAAGGAAAACAGAGTGAGTGGGATCACTCAGTTCGACATTCCAAAAGATAGTAAAAACTATGAAAACGTGACTGAGGACTATGATTGCAGTATCTCACTTGGCATGAATCGCACTGACGGGGTGTTCCAAAACTGAAGAGAACCAGACCTTGTGTAACCAACCTATTTAAAAATATCTCCAGTTCATACAGTACTCTGTCGTTATCGAAAACCGGCTTTTCGACTGATGGTAATTTCCAATGAGGATGTGCTATTTGTCGTTGTTTTTTTCCAGAAAACGGAGATGCCCTTATAACTAGGTTGAACTTTAGTGCATTTGGTTACAAATAACTACCTTCTGTTCGCCCACACGAAGACCCTTGGTAGAGTTTCTGAGTTGGAGAGGGAGGATTATGTATCCGTCAATAGTGACAGGACTGCGAGAAAAACGGCGCTTACCCCAAGCTGTTTTCGGACGGGAGAAAACCGGTCCTGGAGCTCATGAGGAAGGCATAGTCCCTTAGTTTTCTTCAGTCTTATCTCCTACGTGGAAATATATACTCATTGGCAAGTTTAAGTGTCGGATGAATCTCTCATCGCAATGCCGCTGGAACATGTAACACGCCTTCACGTGGAAACCTCTCGTTAAACATTTCTTTAATGAGTAGTAGTGTATCAGTGTGAAAAGACTGTCTTCAACGTGAACGATGAAATACACGCACGTTTGTGATGAAGTACCAGCAAAACTTCATTGCAAGCGAATTGCACTACCACCACTACTACTATACTGCTAGTGATGCCCCCAACAGCACTTGCCATTTTTCCGGGTATGCGTCTCTAGCTGAAGGTGTCCTCCCATGCCTGACGAAGCCTTGTCAACGAATTTACGGGCATTTGACTGCATGCAACACTGTCCGGAGTCCGCGTTCCCCATAGAGTGAGAGGGTTGGTAATTGATCAGGTGGCTGTTGATCTGTTCGCCGAGCTTGGCAATTGGTTTGCAAACGTTTCGTCACCATTCGAGGAGACATCTTCAGTGCGCGCACTGAAGATCACCTGATCAATTACCAACCAATACACCCGAGCTACCAATATTCCAACACATTACCAAGAGTGAGAGGGTGCCCGGAACCCTGTACCCCCATAGCACGAAGGGAAAACGGAGGGAGTGGGATCACCCAGTTCGACATTCAAAAGATAGTACAAAATACGAAAACGTGACCAAGGACTATAATTGCAGCATCTCACTTGACATGAATCTCACTGACAGGGTGTTCCAAAACTGAAGAGAACCGGACCTTGTATAGCCAACCTATTTAAAAATATTTCCAGTTCATACAGTACTCTATCGGTATCAAAAACAGGCTTTTCGACTGATGCTGATTTCCAATGAGGATGTGCTGTTTATTGTTTTTTTTCTTCAGAAAACGGAGATGCCCTTATAACTAGATTGAGCTTTAGTGCATTTGGTTACAAATGACTACCTTCTGTTCGCCCACAGCAAGACCCTTGGTAGAGTTTCTGAGTTGGAGAGGGAGGATTATGTATCCGTCAATAGTGACAGGACTGCGAGAAAAACGGCGCTTACCCCAAGCTGTTTTCGGACGGGAGAAATTCAGCATGTTCAGAAGCTCACCCTCCATTTCGACCATTTCTAACGAATGCTCACGTTGGTAGATTTTGGCGGTCGTCTTTTCTAGCAACTGGGGTTATTTTACCCGGTACAGCACGCTCGTCGAAGCACATGGCATTATGCATGCGTGAGGTCGCATCTTGAGGGTGCGTGTTGTTTACACCAACAACTGTTGATAGATTGCAACTTGTATAATTAAACAACACTAAAAGTACGTCAGGTCAAACAAGGGAAATGTCAATGGAATTGGAAAAAATCAAGGGGGTACTGCATTTCTGAAGCACAACATTGCCAAACTTTCCCTAAAACGACTTGTAGCAGTATACTTTTGGAGACGCGGAACACATCCACCTGCACTGTCGGCCTCTTCGGTTGCAAGCATTGGATCCATCCAACAATCACGTTTTACATACCAGAGTGGTGAAATTTACCGAAAGTATCAGACTGGTGTAAACCGAAATGACTTTTCGTTCTCCTGGCATCATCATGCTAACCACCGAGGTCACTATTGGTGCTTTCCGTTTGTCTAAGTTCCGTGGTTCGTGCCTAGTGAGGCGTAGCAAAACACATTGGAATCGCTTTACAAATTCATGCTTTTGTATTCCATTCCCAAGTTCTTTGCGGGAGAGCCTAGCCTAAATTAACCGTCGTGCGAAACAAGATAGGATACAAAATTGCTCGAATATGGGGTTGGATAAATCGTTTTTAGCTCTTACAGATTGTTGGTGAGCATGCACTTGGTAGACAAACGTCCTTCAGAAAATGTGCCAACAAACCAGATGTTCTGTAGTCCAGTTACAGGACAATCAATCGTTCAACATGTGATTGACTCAGTTGAATGAAGTGTCGCACGCGTTTTTTTTTGACAGAGCTACTTCTGAATCGCTCATCTAATCTGTTTTTGTCTGTTCAGATTGGCACTACCAACCTGCATGTGGATATCGCGGATGCTATAAATCTCTTGCTCTATGTCGGTCACCCATCCGATTCTGTGGAAGAAAGCAACGCGAATGCGGAGGCAGTTTTGAACGTAATGCGTCAGGCTAATGTGGATCCCATTTATTTGGAAAGAGCCATGAACTGGACGAAGCAAATACAATACTCCAACGGCTCCACGTGGACTAGTTCCAATTCATCAACGTCCAACGGTGAGTCATACATCATTCCCCGTCCGAACAAACTCAACATTGAATGTATCAGGAGCTATACACATAATCTGGCATGTATACTCTGCATTATTTCTAGGCCTGGATGTTGGGCCGCCGGGTGCGTTGTGGCATATCTTCTTACCCAAGGATATGCCGGCCTTACGAGAATTTCTAACCCAAATAACTGAAGAGGAAACCGGAGCTCCTTTGGAACCAGGCAGTGATCCGATTCATGATCAGTTGTTCTATTTGGACCAGCCACTGCTTGATCGATTATACGCGAGTACGGGAGTCCTTGCGTGCACACTAGTTCAATTTACCGGGGATGCCATCTTTATTCCGGCGGGAGCTGCGCATCAGGTGAGTACATGTATACAGTTGGCTGCATCAGTCAGAGTCACATAGCCAAACACCTGCTTTCGTTTCGTGATCTGATATTTTTCGTTTGAGTTGTGTTTGGATTTCGTATTTTTCCCAAAAATAGTTCCACTGACGATGAATTCCTTACTTTAAATTCGGCTTGATGGCAGCTAGGCACCGAAACGGTGTTACAGCTGAAGGATTGGGGTGAAATCGCCCAGTGGTTGGAGCGCGAATTTACTGACCGGAAGGTCCGTGGTTCGAACCCGACCTTTGTCTCTCGACTCCCCGTGTTTAGGCCTGGGCAACCTGGCAGTATCCCAGCCATCGGGCTTCCTTCGGGTGAGATGGCAGTTAGGCACCGAAAGGGTGTTTCAGCTGAACCTCCGTCAGAAAAGTGTGTTAGCAACCACACAAACTGAGACAATCGCAAGTACGCTTTTTAAGGTCAATACGTTGTATTTTATTTAGAGTTACCTCCCTTCCACAAAACCACCCTCAGGAGAAATGAACCCTCAGAAGTGTTCATTTTAGGTTGGTGGTCTGAAGTCTATTTCGATAATAAAAGAGGCTGCTCCCTGGGAGAAACTAATTCCCTTCGTTCCCTTCAGGATTCTTCCCCAGAGCGAGGAGGAATTGCATCATTTGTGAACTGGTACAAGTACCCATCCCAATGCTAATTTGGTTTATGTGCATAGGTGTCCACCTATAGTGGATATCGGTAAAAGTTCCAGCTTCCGTTGAGCTGGGACATACTACAAGCGCTTCACTCCTGAGGGCCGGCAACTGGAACATTTATTCTTGCTTTACAAGTTATGAAACAATTTCCACATTTGTTAGCATCATCAGCCGGATGTTCCGCGTGCACCTGTCATGCCGCCTCCGGCAAGGGCAAGGGATGACATCCTTTTACCCCCGGTTGTCAGTAAAGTCTTCTTTGACGGAGAAACTGGATGACCACACTGGGGGATCCTTTCTCGGCCGCCCGTGATCAGTCTTCTATTCTCAAGGACGTAGTTCATCTAACAAAACGTCACTTCGATTTCCAAGAGTCCTCTTTTGCTGCCCACCAGAAATAGAACACACTCCCTCCGGAAATGGAGAGGGAGGGAGGGCTGTTAATACATCTAGGATACGTCACGCGGTGGTCATTGGACAGCAATTTTAGGAGTGCGTTACCTGATGGGATACGGCTTTAGCCTTCTGTCGATGAAAGTCTTTGCCGAACAGGAAGTGACATGTTAAACTATATTAGTTTCGCAAGTATGCAATTAGTCCATGTACGCCTTCACCAAATTATTGTTCACGATTTTTTTGGCTTGGTGCTATTTCAGGTTCGAAATCTGAACAGTTGTATCAAAGCTGCCGTCGACTTTGTTTCACCCGAACATCTACCTCAGTGTTTTCAATTAATCGAACAGTTTCGTCGGCTGTCTGCCACCCACCAGAACCACGAGGATAAATTACAAGTGAAAAATATGTTGTTTCACGCCGTCAAGGACGCTTTATCTGTGTTGTTGGTGGCCGGTGACTCCCAAAATGACCGAAAAGTAGGGGGTGTAGAGAAACCCGAAGAGGAAGCGGCTGGTGATCAGCCACTAATGAACAGACTTGGTCAACTATTCGATCCCCACCAAGCTACACCGATGATGAATGCCAGCCTGTTACCGGAAGAAGAAACCATCGAGTTTGAGCCTCTTTCACGAACCGGCCCTACTGATCCGGACACAGTCGAACGTTCACTGAATGCATCACGTCGAAGTCTGGTAAGTCCGCCAGGCAGCGGAGCCTCCAAAGGTCGGCCTGGACGACCGAAAAACATGTTTTCCGTCCCGGGCAAAATTTCCCCATCCTGCAAATCTTCACCAGATTCCGATTCATTTCGAGCAGCCAAACTGGACAGCCATGCATCGAATCCCCCTGTGGATGGTCACACCCTTCCAGCACAGTCCAGCTCGTGCACTCCGTCCATATCATCTTGCAATAGAAGTCCCGTGATGGAGGATAATCGAGTGGCTCAGATGTCTACGGACGAGGCTCTACAGACTTGATTTCCCACACCCACTCCCGTTATCCAAATTTGCGCCACTCACCAGCCCCGTTCTGTCAAGACAGGCGGGCGTCTTTCTTACGAAGATTGTCTTCTTCTCAGTCTTCTGTGATTGTACAATCGATCTTTTTCTTTTCTTAGCCAAAGTGACTAAAAAAAACCCTACTGATCCGGACACAGTCGAACGTTCACTGAATGCATCACGTCGAAGTCTGGTAAGTCCGCCAGGCAGCGGAGCCTCCAAAGGTCGGCCTGGACGACCGAAAAACATGTTTTCCGTCCCGGGCAAAATTTCCCCATCCTGCAAATCTTCACCAGATTCCGATTCATTTCGAGCAGCCAAACTGGACAGCCATGCATCGAATCCCCCTGTGGATGGTTACACCCTTCCAGCACAGTCCAGCTCGTGCACTCCGTCCATATCATCTTGCAATAGAAGTCCCGTGATGGAGGATAATCGAGTGGCTCAGATGTCTACGGACGAGGCTCTACAGACTTGATTTCCCACACCCACTCCCGTTATCCAAATTTGCGCCACTCACCAGCCCCGTTCTGTCAAGACAGGCGGGCGTCTTTCTTACGAAGATTGTCTTCTTCTCAGTCTTCTGTGATTGTACAATCGATCTTTTTCTTTTCTTAGCCAAAGTGACTAAAAAAAACCTACCTGGCTGCCTAATGAGGGTTGCTTTCAGATACGTCATTGGTAGCAATTGAACGGATTGTCAAGTTTCTGAACCAATGGAGCTTTTTTTCAGTCCAGCCCATTCTTCCCCCCCTCTCTGTCTTATTCCAGGCGCCCAGTGTCAGTCATTCAGCTGCACTTTCTCAGTTATTCACTCACTTTCCCGTCACCGGTTTGTGTAATTTGATTGTACAGTCCCCAATGTATTATCAGTACGCCCTATTATTACCACCACTATGTGTTGTCCTCCTGCTGTGTCGGGCAGTTCATCTTTTGTCTGCTTTGCACTTGTGGGTTGAAACTTTTGATCATGGCCCACCCTGGGAATTCCGTCACGTGTGCACAAAGACACCGACACACACACACACACACACGACCCCATTACAACAGCCGGTATGTCCTATTTGGTCAGATGCTGTTATCTTTTCGCAGTTCCCTCTCTTCAGTTCCTACCTGTCGGCGCACTTCTGTTTTATGAAGAAAGCCCCATGCTGTGCCAGTTTTCTAGGTGCCTGTCGACGATGACTATGATGTTACCCCACTAATGTTGTTGAGGCTTGCGTCACACGTCTCCTTCCCCGGCGTTCTCTCAACAAGCTTACTTCTGTCCGGTTACTGTGTGTGTGTGTGTATTTGCGCGAGTGCATACGTATGAATACAATTAGGTATACTTGGTCCAACGATGACAACAACAAACCCTATCACCACTGAATCGTAACTGTGTTCCTCCCCCCAACGATCCCTGTATGTGTCTGCCCCCAATTCCTCTGTACAGTTTGCACATCATACATTGAGAACAAACTTCAGCCGCATAGTATTCCTCTGGTATTTTTTCGCCTGAAAAATAACGCGGGACTTTTAAACCACACCGCGGTAGTCATCGTCAGCTGTAAGAACCGCGTAGTTGCCGTACAGTGGTTCTAGCTGCCACAGTTTCCCAATCGAGAGGTGGCTGTAAAATGAGCGACGGCTGTAGAAGTTCGGAGGATTTTCTACAAGGAAGATCAATGGAGTTGGGGAAGTACTGCACTAGTAACAGTCATCGCCATATAAGAAACGTCGGGAAAATGAACTTCTTCGTTCCCCCAGGGAGAATTTAGCGTTAACGCTTGGTTGTAGCGTCTTCATAAAAGTATCCATTCTTTGGATGGGTCTCCTGGGAAGTACTGGGATTCTACTCTAAGAGATGCAGGTGAAGAGTGTTAGAAACTGAGGCTATGCTATATTTGGGGGGAGGTGAGATGATTCACCAACAACCAAACATTCATATCCACGGTCTCTGGTTAGGCATGCATCACGATAGCTTCCTGAACTGCTCAGAACAGTGAAAAGCACTTGATACCCTATTAAAACACATTGGAAATCCTTTGTATTGATCAGGACGGATGATAATATGTTGAAATTTTCGAGTTCATCAGATGCCCCATTCGGTTCAACCTCGGTAGCAATTGCACTTTCAGCTAGATGAGATGAGGATGCACTGCGTCCTTTAGTGATACTGGAATCCTAGGGGTTTACAGAGACTTGAAGAATCCCAGGAGCCGATTTTACAACTCCACGGACAGCTACTTGGATCACACAGTGCGAATGTTCGACACTCGCTTAAATCGAGGTGTTGAACTTTAATCATTGTTTCAGATCGCACGAGACAACTTTATTGTGTTCTCCGATGTGTGGAGTTCCAAACCAGAAAGGATGTCTGTCTGAAAGCATATTTTGCGACAGGAAATGCCCGAATTTTTACGGAAAGTGTTGGCATGGCGACCATTAAGTCAAATTTAATTGTCGGAAGGCTTGTCAGAACTGTCTGGATCCTCGGTTTTGAATTAAGCGTATCGGAATATCGGATGGCTGAGCTGTTTTGTATTCGACAGCATTTTCACTGCAAAGTCTTGGAGCATCACTGTCCTACAGTGTTTGGTAGACATTCCGCACAATTTGTTTTCACCAAGCTACATGTTCCTTCCGAGTAAATCAAAGACCATCCACCAGAGACTGAGGAAGTTGAGATCAACCAGGTGAAGTCAATGGTGAAGGGTTGAAAAACTGGAACTTTCTGCACGGAACTACAGTTTCACATTCTTGAGTCTTTTTAAACACTGCAAGTTAGTCGAGGGGAGAAAGTACCAACAGCTGTGGCGAAGATGAACTATCCAAATAGCATTCTTAGTTATCCACACTAGAGGATTCAGGAAGAGCATATCGAGAAACTGTGGTAGAGATTACCTGGATCCGTCACACTGGACTAGATCGGAACATCTCACACTGTCAGCCATCACCTTGCAATCATAACAAGTACCGTTCGTGACAAAGTATTCCATTCAAAATCGAAGCGAAACACGCCTACGTGCCCAATAATACGTTATACACATGTCGCGGTACGCTAATCTGCTTGTCATAGATTATTCGTAACAATCGAACACCGATGGAAGTGTTGGAAACGTAAGGAGGAGTGTCGCTCTATTTGAACCTTGGTGGTTTACTTCTTAGTGAGGCGGAACTTCCTACACCCCACTTAATAGATTGCAAGAAAAGGTAGAGTCTACGGCGGGAGCCCCCCCCGGAGGGTAGTGAACTGCTCACAGAACTGTATCTAGATATTTAAAGGATCGACAGGAAACCAGAGGTCAGAAAGAGTTGGATAGGTAAGTGTTGACCAGAGTCCTGAACAATTAAAGCTCGTATGAAGTTGAGAATAAACTGAACAGACAGGATCAACTAACAAAACGTTTCCCTACGGTATCGGGGAAATTTCTCGACCGATGGCCAGTCTGTTCTGCATTACATGTACACAGCAAATTCCGCCTACGATATCTGAATCGGTAGCTTACACTCGAGTACCCTTCACTCCTTTTTTCGGTGTCCGCGCATGCTTCTGGATTGACCGGGAGCAAGCGTTGTTTCCAATTGATGGGTGGGTAGGTTGATAGCGACTTCATTTGAAAATAAATTGAAGTTAGCAGATATTGTATCTTGAGTACGGTGGTATAAGTGCTGCTTGGTATGTAGCCGGTGTACCCTTGTGACTTCTGAGCGCAACTGATAAGGAGAGAATTTTGTGAACATGTTCCCAACATTCCGGAATGAAAGTCCGCGAAATATTTTAGGCTCCTATTGGTGTTTCTTGGCAAATGCAAACTAGGTTAAATTCAAAGCCTACTACTCATCAGCTTCAACTTAGAGATTGATGACTCATTTAGCCAGAAATGATACGGTCATCCACCCGTATTCATTTTGTTTTGCCCTGATTGCAGGTCATACAAGTGAGTTGATGAATTTCAGGTTTCCTTTGAGGTGGATGTTGAATAACATCCATTTAGAGATTCGGTTCGGGTTCGAAACCAAGGACTGGCCTCCTTAGGGTCCGAAAGCACAGCGGAAATCTCCAATGGACCAGACAAAATAGGTCACCTTCAAGAAGCAGTATTCCCGAGGACGGTCTTGACAGAGAGCGACAACCTCGATTCGTCTTCCACTATTTCAGATACCGAATTCACAGTCTTCCCCATTTAGCCTGTTCGTGGGATGGATCAGACCAAGAGTGACATGAAGTGGAAAACCAGCCAAATAGCGGTAACGATCTCGAGTTCATGTCCCAAACGCGATGCACATAGATGCTTCGATATTGTGTGAAGTGGCGCAGTATGGGCATGCATACACGGAGTTGCCAACGCAGTATGGTTCGATAGTATCTTGGGTTCCCGAAGAACCAGCTCCACACCTCGCGCGCAGTTGATCGGACAGTTTTGAGCACTACTGATTCGCTACTCAGAGAAAACGATTGCGAACTGAAGTAGTTCACATTGGCTCATAATAATCACCAGCGCGCATCGCCTTAGGCAGCTCCAGTGAGACCCGAACGCACGTTTTAGGATAAGTCCCGGCTGGCAGTCAGGTGCCTACGTCCACCGTTTTCGTCCATTTTTTTGTCGAAAGTTCAGTCAGCGTGAGCAGACTGAGTCACCACCGCCCTGACTGAGGGCTTGATCTCGCTTAGTGGCCCATCGATGCCGCAGAGCGGAAGTAAAAATCAGACCCAAGTACGCTAGTCCACCGATCTACGCCATTTTCACTTGACCTACTTACCGTGTGAAACGTAGGTCACATCTCCAAGTAGTCATCGTTCCGAAGTCTGAAATGTCAAATTCACCAACAGCCACAGTCGTGCGTACTTGCCGCAAATCGGTCAGCTGATGTGGAGGCAGAATCACGTTACCAGTCTTGTCTCACTGTATTCGGGAGTGAGTACAGTCTTCGAGCAGCGTCTACTGTGTATGGAATTTGTCTTCAACTATCATACCGGAAAGAAACTAGACCAAGCTTGGTGAAATCTAGGAAGCAGAACTCTAGGAAGATCGAGAAAACTACTCTGCGGTAAACGATTTCCTGACGATTTCTATTAGGTTAAGTAGCATCAGTCGTCCACCTGATGACGACAGCTTTGCATTGTTCTCAGTATACACGAACTGCAAGTCAACCTCTTATAGCAAAGAATGTTACTTCTCGTTGTACGAATGAGTACGTTTCAGGATTGAACTAAACTACCTGACACCAGGGACGGTGGCAGCTGTGAGGGACCAGCCTTCTTTCAGAATTCCGTGAACAAGCAAGTTCTGGTAGAACGCCCCCAAGCACCTCCTCATTGAATGTGCATTGGGCCGGTAAATACTGTCAGATTGGAGTATGTGGTCACTATTGGGACATCCGCTATTTGACGGTCGTTTGTGACAAATCTGTGGCAGGTTCTGAGTTTGAAATGCTGCAGCGGACTGGGTTCGGTCTGTAAACATTTGACCACAATTAGTTGTTTGATTTTATCCTCTTCGGGAATCCTGAGTGAAATTCATCATCAAGAGTTTATTGGCAGTTCCCTATTGATATGGCTATGATTACACGTGGTTGACAGTGGGTGAGGGCTGAGAGAAATATGAAGGCGCGTGTTCTTTTGGGAATAAATAAGGTTTGTATGACCGTTGCATGCACACACTGATGAAACCGTCAATTTGGAAGCACCAGTCACGATTTCAGTGTGCAGTCAGGTGACCGTTGACTTTCTTCAAAGCTTGTCTAGTTCCTTTTCCTGTTTTCAAAAAAATGGAAGACTGAATCGAACACAGTTAGCTGCACCTGAGGTTTGCTGACTTTGCAGATGAGGAGCCGGAAAAAAAGCTTGTCAGTTCCTTTTCCTGTTTTCAAAAAATGGAAGACTGAATCGAACACAGTTAGCTGCACCTGAGGTTTGCTGACTTTGCAGATGAGGAGCCGGAAAACTCAACACTCCGAAGCACAGTTTACCAAGTTCTTCAGCACGCATGCACTCACTCAGACACACAAGACACAGAGGGAGCCGAACACAGCTCACTATTCTGAGAATAAATAATTTTCCTACCTGGTGACCACTCTTAACACTGAATGAGCATTCAGTCTGACTAGCGATAAGCGACCCTTGGCGGTAACGGGTTCATTCTTTGAAAAATACTGTTTATGATTCTTCACTTTTTGAGATGAGATGCCTAACTTAGTGAAAAAAGTTCATGTAAGTGTAACATACTGCTCATAATTGAGATTGAGCCGAGAATCAGGTGAGTCTACCATGAAAAAAAATACTGGTGCGCGGGTGAGTGTATTCGTCAAATAAAAAGTATGATTTCAAGTGTATCAAAGGCAAAGTCACACCACTTTGGCCCAAACATGAAAGACCTCGCGATTTTATTGTGTGGTCAGCCAGTTACCACTTTTTGACAGTCGGAGCACAAGGGACCGATAGGAGTCAGCTGCCAGTCTTAACACGAACGAGAATTATGTGACAGAG